GTGTGTGTGTGTGTGTGTGTGTGTGTGTGTGTGTGTGTGTGTGTGCGTGCGTTTTTGGATGAACATGCAGGCCACATACACGTACGAACCACAAACATGAGAAAAAAAGAACAACAGCAATCCAACCAATACAACAAAAGGAGAGCACCATCAAGCCGCCAAAGGGTTACATTGCAGACAAAGCGCACCTCACAGTCCCAAGCCTTCCGTTTTATGTCCACAATGCTTCCAAAGTTCTGATAATTCCATTTTGCCCCTAAGGTCTTCCGTTATTCTCTGGACTTTGCTTGCAGGTGAGGACAACCCCCCAAGTGTTCAAGGCTACCTGACTAACAGTGCCGAGAATGTGAACACGCGTAAAATTCCAAAATCAGCTGATACAAACTTCCGTAAGCTGAATCACACATACCAGCCCAGAAGAATGTTTTCTTTCAGCAGGACTATTCAATTCGAGTTTTCAATCCACAGTCTTCCCCCGAACAGAACGTAAGGTCATTACAGCTGCATTTGGGGGGTAACTTTCAGTCTAGATACAGCAACAATGACCACGCGTTCTATTCGGGCGAAGACGGTAGTGTGGTCATTCAGTAAGCAGGCAGCGGACTCCAAGCCCACGGCATCCATCGAAAACGTCGGCCGTCACATAGTAGTAGAACTGTGAGTGGACACACGAGCAACTTGAATCTGTGATCCCGCATCAGTGATCAACCTTCATTCTCTTGCCGGATTAGCACAACCCCTGGATGATAGCATGCCAATTTCTTTTCTTTTGTTTCTCATTCCAATTTCACTAGATAACGTACCGCAATATCATTGTCGATTGTAATTTCACTAGATAACGTACCGCAATATCATTGTCGATCGTCTTGGGGATACCAGCAACAGCAACCTTCAGACCTCTCCTTACTATTTCCTGCACAAAAGGAAAAAAAGGTACGTCACACGCAATGACCCAGAACGCTGCAAGGGAATAAAGCCTGAAATGGAGAGCCTAACGAAACGCTGCTGGTGTGAAGAAAGTACACCAAAGAGGCAAGGGCATATATCTGAAAACAGTGATGCACACCCTGACGGTAGGCGGCCCTTGACTGGTCGGCTGCCGACCGGTCGGTCGGCACCTACTGGTCGGGGGTTGTCAGCACCCGGAAAAAATAAAAATAAAAAAAATGGGGTCCAGAACCCCTAACAACACCACCAACACCCCCATAGCGGCCCCCAATACTCCCATACACCCCCCCAACACCCCCAAACCGCCCCCAACACCCTCATAAGCCCCCCCAGTAACCCCTATACCACCCCTATACCCCCCTGTACTCCAACCCCCACCCCCCCATACCCCCCCCACCACGGAAGGTTTCTCAACGGATTTGGGCTGTACTCAGCAAGCGCAGTACAGCCGCCCAACTCAGATTTGAAAAAAAATCAGTGGATGGTTGTTTTGGGCTGTACTCAGCAAGCGCAGTACAGCCGCCCAACTCAGATTTGAAAAAAAAAAAGTGGATGGTTGTTTTCTGACTCGTCAGCAGACCGCCGCCCGGTCAGCCCTACTGGTCAGCTGCAATACCGTCAGCAGTCGGGGTCGGTGGTCAGCAGGCATGCAACCCTGTCTGAAGACCAAAAGTCCGGTTGACCTTACCATCTTCACCCGAATGGAAAACGCCCTGTCCGTATCACTGCATCTAGACCGAAAGTTGCCTTAAAGTACGGCTTTAAACCACCAGTACCTCGCTCAGCTATGGGCCGCGGGCACTCTCGTATACGCGCCGCAGCCCTAGGGGGGTCGTTCAAGGGAAGGCCCGGTCGCTGTGCGAAGGCCGGGCTCCGCTTCCCTAGGAACGAGACACTTGAGAAAACAAAAAAAAAAGAAAAAAGAACAAAGAAGGGAAAAAAAAAAAAAAACGAACAAAAAGTTGAAGTCGCACGGGAGAGAGAGAGAGAGAGGGGCGGCGAGTTCACCGCGACCC